CTGTCTATTATTTTAAAAAATTTTAAAAGCCACCCTTTTTATCTAATAATCGTCCCAAAGGATTTGTGAGTAAAGAATGAATATTAAAAATATGCCATAACTCTGCAATTATAAAAAATAAAATAAAATTATTCAAACAAATGTTGTTTGTGTATAAGTAATTAGTGTATAAGAAATATACAAATAATAAAAAAAGCGATACCATCTATCATTTAGAAAAATTTGGAAAACCACTCTTTTTATCTAATAATTGTCCTAAAAGAATTTGTTGCACGTGGAAAGATTAGCTCCATTGGACCATTTAATTTTAAACAAATGAAGCCAATATCTTTACGGTTTTTGAGAAAATAACTTGTAACCATTTATTTGGACTAAACAGTAGTCAAGAATATACTAATCTAGAATTAAAAAATATAAAATATTTTGTTTTCATTAACCTTTAATTGAAGTTATTTTCTTAAACATCGAAAGAAAAGAATGTTTGTTAGTCTGACGATCAACATGCAATATATTTTTGATTTTGAAAACGTTTGTGTTGATGATAATGAAAGGTATCACCAAAAGTAGATTTAGTTTTCAATTCATTTTGCATAATGAAAAACGACATTATTAATTTAGAGAGAAAATCGCACGTACAGGAAACGTTTCGGAAGTTGTGATCTTATTAAGCGTACGAATCGATTTGATGGGCTGAACGGTTGGCGGGTTCCATTCGGTGAAATTAACGAACCGTTTGGAAAGTTGTATAACAAAGAACGAGGGATGGAAGATGAAATATTCGTATTTCTTATTTTATTCGATTCTTAGAAATTATTAATTTAAGGATTTGTAATATATGGAAATTCTTCTTAAACAGAGAAACTAGAAGAGAAACGTTGCAAAATTTTTTTATTTCCTAATGGAGATTATTTGAATACTTAAAATCTACTTTGACTATTTATTAATATAAGATTTCCATAAAAAGGCTAAATATTAATTCGTAGACCTAATACAGATTTCGAAATTTTTTAGGTTCAATTCGGTTAAAACTTTCACTAGTGTTTAAATTCCTAATATCTCCATTATATTTTCAATTTTTTTACACTGTTGTTAGTTCCATAACAGGTAAAATGTTTAACCTCCTTAGGGACGATTTTTTTTTTTGTGTATTTATTATTGACAGTAACTATAATTATAAAAAAAAAACCAAACGTTCATATATGTGGCCAAGGGTGTGAAGAGGTTAAATGTATTTGAGTAAATCGTATAGCAGATATTTGAAGTTATTACCATTTTATTACATGAAGTTGCATAAAATAGAATGAGGTTTGAAAAAGAAAATCATTGAATGTTTAAAGTATGATTTCACCCAAATAACAAATAACGAACTTTTTCAAACAAAAAAATGTAGTTCATTATTGCACGCAAAAACAATCAGACTGTAAAACGATAAAATTTGCACCTTTTTATGTCATTCAATTTTCTCTTCGCAACTTTGTTGCACCTAGCCATACAAAAGACAAAAACAGGCTCAATTACGAAACTCACACTGTGTAGAAAAATAATTCCTGAGTAACACAAGCTGAATCACTTAACGGAAAAATGTGTGTTCGCTGGATTTGAAGTTTTACATGTAACGCTGTTTCAAATAAAATATCAACATTATCCATCTGCTGAATTATTATATTTTTGTTTCTATCTATTGGTACGTGAACAATCTGTGAACACTCCTTCGGGCGGAGTATACATTCGATTTCAATAACTTTTGTAGCCGTTTTATCGGAGGCTATCCAGCTGAAACCAACCATACGTATAATAATTTAGTCTTGCAGAGTAAATGGTGATGGAATAAAAATAAATTCGATGCACGATTTAAAACTATATTCAATGAATCTATTACCCGCGGGTTCGCCTGCATTGGAATAAATTTACAACATTTTCTTTCTCTTCAATTTATTGAATAGAAATTTACAATCACAATTGTATTTTAATTTTAATAAACCATATTATCCATCTGGAATTCCTGTTAGATTTCAACGGATTTTCATATTAATGTAGATTATTGTTTTACTAAAAAAATATTACTAACTCAGTTCTGGTGTGCTATTTTACTCAACCCATTGCCAGAATAAATGTGTAATTCTTCTGGGCACAGAAAAAAGCAAAACATTGATTGTACGTTGAAAATGGTATTTGGTTGCGAATTTTGAAGCTGGTTGTTCAGATGTAAGTTCAACCGTCGCATTAAATTTTTCCTCTTTTTACTCTGCAAAAAATGTTTTTTATGGAAGTCGTTTTTGCATGGAAGGTGGAGAAATATTGGCTTAATTCCTTACATCACATACTACAGTGAAAACTCGATAAATGTCGCTACTCCGGGTCCGGTCAGCAACACTTACGGAATAGGAGAATCGTCTTTCGAATTTGATTGTAGTTTGCCGACGCTTCGAACGTAGAAAGAGTCAGTAGTTAAAGAAGAAAGAGGGACTGAAACTCGGATTTATCGCCCCAATTTAAATATCCGCGTCAGTGTGACCACACTACTGCACAGAAGAAAGTTTTTTATTTTTTTAGTTTTTGTTAATAAAAATTTCACTATCATGTTGGGGAGATTTCTCTGATTAAAATGAGGCTAAACACGATATAAATCGGTCAATATTTGGTAGCATAATATTGAATTAAATATTGTACTTGCGAGTCTTTCTCTCTTTATTTATCCTTCTTGTGCTGTCCTTTTCTATGTTCGGAAATATCAAAGAACGACGCATCGAGGTGCTGGCTACATTTATCGAACGGGAGGTAGCTATTTTCAAACGGAACGGTTTCACCGTTTCGTAAGTGATCAAAAACTGCAACACTTATGAAATAGGGGGTTTCGTTAGCTACCACTGTTCGATAAATGTACCAATCCACTGACCTTGCGAAGATATGAGTACACAATATTTAATTCAATATTATGGTAACAAATATTGGCCGATTTATATCGTGTTTAGTCTCATTTTAATTAGAAAAATCTTCCCCACATGATAGTAAAATTTTTATTAAAAAAAAGTAAAAAATAAAAAACTTTCTTCTTGTACAGTAGTGTGGTCACACTGACAGGGACATTTAAACTAAGATGACGAAGGCAATAAAGATTTTTAAAGAAAGCCGCTACGTCTCCGGTTACACTTCGCCTCACTGGTTCAAGGGGGATCCCCCTAGTGGTGGGGATAAAAATGTATCATTTATGGAACAGCTCTTGAGGACATTTATCGAGTTTTCACTGTAATGTACATCCTGTTGAGCCGTTCATAATCTCGCGGCAAGAAGCACGCCGTCAAAGTGGCGCCACCTAGGTTGAAGATCGTGCGGGGATTTCCGTGTTTTTTGTTTGTGTCGAGTCGCGTCGTTTCGTTGGAGCTGCATTACTGTATTTTATGTTTAACTATGTAATATCTAATGAATAATTAAAGTGGTTGTGTTTAATATTTAAATATTGTCTATCTACAGTTATTTAATCAATTCCAATGAAAGGGAATCTGATATTTTTCAACACATCCGTATTTTCTCTACTATTAATATTAACAAAGAGGAGAGAAAATCGTGAGATTTATAAATAAATGTATGAAATTGTATATCAATGTTTTAAAAATTAAGATCTTAATTTGCAGTAGAAAATTACACGTTTGCCCGTTTTTAACAAATTTTTAAAGGCCTCTCACGCTGGTTCCTATTATGGCTATACTAATTAATATTTTTATATGAAATTTTTACAAGAAGTAATTCAGGAAATGGACCTTCGAAAGCATTAAATATTTATAAGAAAAAGTTTCATAGTTATGCCTAAAAAATTCTTGCAAATTCCCTTTATTTTTAGCCGTCACAGTGGTTTCCCCCCCTTAAATCATCTAAATTAATGCATCATGCGGGGGTTCTTCTCAGAGGCCGCTAAAAAAACATCCCTGAACAGCGATTTCAGCAGCCAATCATCTGTTGTTATAGCATCTCTCTATCATATCATCTGTGGTTGTAACCCCTCTATTTGTATTTCCTGCCAGTTCTCGTTGAACCGTGTATAGATCCAAGCAGGAAAACGCTTGCCGACGTCTGCTTTAACCGACTCGGTTATTTATCGTTCCGTCGACGTTATGTGCGTGACCAGAGGAAGCATATTAAAATTCAATAATTTGATTCGAAGCCCCGCCAATGGTGTCCTCCCTCGTTCGTTCCTCTTCCCTGTTTGCATTGGCTATAAACGTTCGAATCCTATTAAAATCTGTCGGAACAACGCCGACAAAAAGGTCCTCGGATATTCATGTAGCTAATCGATAGGTCGCGCGCGATTAATCGTCGAACCAAGAGGCGGGGAGCAATTTCCCGAGGTCCTGTTGTATCTAAGGTCGATAAGGAAAAGGATAACGAGGTTAGTGCCGAGGCACTCGAGTGGAGGTTAGGTAGCGAGACGATTGATGAGGTGGCTATGAAAGCCAATAAAATCGCGACGCCGCGGCAACCCAGGGACCAAGGGCATAAATCGGCAAGTAGACCGATTAATTGGCTTCGCTCTGGCGTGTACACCTACATACACGGCCGGCGATCCGTACGTGTGGCTCGTACGAACTTTTGTTTCCGGCGCTGGCCGGTGTGCGGCTAGATTCAGTGCTGGCCGGGGCTTTGGCCAATTTGCAGTAACTCGGCTTTCGGTCAGTGACTGACTAAAACTGGAAATTTGCGGTTGCAGCAAGAAAATATACGGTGATCCGGCGCCGCGGTAGCCTGAATCTCAGATTCAACGGACTTCGCCGTGAGCCTGTTCGAAAGTAGAAATAGAAAGAAAACCGTATGTTGCCGGCGGCAGTTTGCCTGCTCGACTGGATTGCTCGAAACGGAGAAAATAAGATCACTTTGAAGAGCCAGTAGCAAATTTTCCGTCAACGAAATACACGCTGGCGTGGATGAAACCTTCCAAGGTGTCCATCGTACCCTAGCTATTTAACGAAGTGTGTTGTTATCTATTGCATAGGGTCAGTTGCCCTAATATGGAATACGTTCGTAATTTGGAACACCGCAATATTAAAGCAATTATCGCAATATTGCTATTGGCGATGAATGCAATCGATTACGATTGTCATTTGTTGCAATTAGCGTGCATGTGCCCGGATTCCAAAGCAATACATGTTCGTAAAAAAGTATTGAAGAAAATATCGCAGTCTGAGTTTTTGCAAGGTGATATTTTACCTAATATTATACATAATAATGATTCGATTATTTCTTCAAATATAAATATAAATATATGTCGGAGAAACAACTTCATTACTCTTGGACTACTTCTACCAGGTCCTCTCGGGCGACTAAGCCTTTGTCTTGTCACTCTTTTCATTTTGTTTGCAATTTTTAATTAAATAGACGATCAACTAATAACTGGAACACACACTTTATTAAAAAGAAAGAATAATCAACAAAAACTGATGAGTCCTTTGTTAGAATTTTATTCCGGTATCCAGACAACCAACTCGACTATCTTCAAGAGCCACATCCAAACGTCAACGCCAATCAGACGGACGTTTGCGTTTTCGATGACATTCGATTAAATTTAGGTATTGTTTAGGGCCAACATAATTGTATTTATTCAACGTGAAGTAACATGAATTTCGGTAATAAAACTTTCTAATGGATTACAACATATATAAATATAGTATTCCATATTACGAGCACTATGAGCCTAGTATGGAAAATGAGGACCTCACTAAAAAAAGTAAACATTTCCTAAACCATTTTTATATTTTAAATTTGACTCTTACCAGCCAAAAGAGCATACAATTCCCTATAAATTCACAATATTTAAGTTTTTATAAAAGTTCTGCAAGCAAGTGAAACATGTGTATAAAAAAATGTACTCCATATTAGGGGAACTGACTCTATTGTTATATTCCCGATCATATGTTACTTCCTCGAAATTCATATAGAGGGCACAGTTTAAGTTTTGTTGACGAGTCATCTATTGCAAGAATGTAAAGTGCGATTTTTTTAAGTTGAGCTCTGAGAGGCAGGCAGTAGGCAGCGGCGAAATCGGGTGGGGTACCAATCACGTTGCAGAACTGGGCGCGACGTTGCCATATCATGACAAGCAGCGTTGTGTCTCTTTCTATTTATAAACGTCATTATTCTTTCGTCAGTAAAGGCGATTTCGTACTGAAGATATTTATCCTTCGATTTATCCACCGTTTATTTTCAAAGCTATTGGCATTCCTGGTCTTACTTTAATCAAGAAGGAGAATAGAACCAATTCTCTTGCCCCCAAACACCTGACTATCGCGTGATACTCTCGTTTCGTTTTCCATTCCTCCACACCCATGCCCTCAGCAACGAATTATCTCATTGGATTTTTTATTTCAAAGATATCGATATCGTCCGTGTCTATGGGAACTTCTTCTAAAGCTTCCGTTATGATTTATGACACATTACTGCATTAACGCGTTGACTGCCACGTCACCCATATATGGATAACATGATTTTTCACCGAGGAGCTAAAGGACTCTTGAATTTTAACGAGTCTGTAGAAATAAGTTCAACAAGAAATGACGGTTATGCTAGTTTTCAGTTGTCTAAAAGCAAAGTCTTGTTTTCGTGGACAATTTGAAAGGTTTGGTTTGGCAGTCAACGTGTTCATAGAGCGTGTCAGAAACGCAATTATACGTGTACACTAGGGTGATCCTCATTTTTCGACTTTCGATTACTTTTTGACTTACCTCCTCAGCTTGTGACACTTGGTGAAAAAAGTTTTGACCCCTGTAGCTAAGGACCACCCCAATGTACACTCACAACTCTGACAAGTTTCAATAGCTTTGTGACAAAAAGAAATCCAATATCAAAGACATTATCCAATATCGAATGTCTTGGTATCCATCGAAGATCCTTTTTCATGAGCTCGTTGGAGTATTGTACGATAACGTAACGATTGTTTTATGGTATTTTTCAGTACCAGTATTAGACGTGTCGGCGGTGGCTGGCTTCAAAGCTCAAATACCTTGCGACATTGATCCACCAACTAGGACCGAGGTGGTGAGCATGGTTTTTTGGTACAAAGGCGAAAGGAATGGCGAACCGATATACAGCGTGGACGCTCGCGGCAAATCGATAGGTCAGGCAAAGCTCTGGTCAAATACATCCGTATTCGGCGAAAGGGCAACCATGAGGATAAACGTGAAACCTGCAAAATTGGAGATCGATCCCTTGAAAGCGACCGATGCGGGGGTGTACAGATGCAGGGTGGATTACAAAAATAGTCCAACGAGAAATCAGAAGGTTAACCTCACAGTGATAGGTGAGTGCTTTTCTCCTAATGATTAATGATTGTTCACTTTAGATAGTAAGCATTGCTTTCTGTTAAGTTTGTCACTCTACATACAGTGTAGTTACTTGCTAGCGATCAATATTTTAGGGGATGATTCTATGAACGAAAATAAAATAAAAATTAAGAGTGATTAAATTGCAGTCGAAGATTTGTATCTGACTTGTATTGTTTCTTTTAATTTTGTTTTCATTAAAAAAAATACTAAAAATATTTGTTTAAAGTTTCTATATATTTAATTCTCTTTGTTTAATGGTTACAAATAACCAAAATATATTTAAGAAAAAGGAACACGGGGAAACTAAAAATTATCCATAGACTATTAACGTAATATAAAATTTAATTTCACACATTCAATGAATTTTTTTAAATAGGATGTCTCAAAACATTTTATTTTGGCCTATTATAATTCATATAATAAAAGATTAAAATGTTGAAATGAAAAGATTAAAAAGACATTCTTGGCTGACTATAAATACAGTGTATTAACTTCGAGTAATTGTAGGAGCAAATGAAAGCGTAATAGGATTTACAACGTAATAACTCAAATTCACAACTTTGCTACGACCGCATTAACATGATTATAAACTAATTAGTTGGTCATAGTGTAGACTTAATGGGTAGAATTCAGAGTCTGCGTTCTCGTTCCGAATCAAAAGAATTATTTATTATTGTGTATATTTTTCGTAATCTTCGACTTCAGGAAGTGTTACCTCCAGCAGTTTTATCATGCATACAGAAAGCGTTTAATCCTAAACCATTTGCTTGTAATTTAGGGCTGCTTCGTGGCCATAGCGGCCTTTATGGAGTTTAATTACATTAATCTTGCTAATATGAGGTATGGTAGATTCAGTACACACCTTCTAGTTTTCGGAGGAAGATTGCATTTGAAATCGTTAAAACGGTAGAAATAAAACCAAATTAGAAATTGTTAGACGTGTTATAAAGCTTTGAATATTTGGTAAATAAAAATATACGCGGTGTCTAAGTTTAATATTGCAAATTACTCGTGAAGTGCTCACTGTATAAAGAAATGGTTTAAAACTTAAGAAAGATACAAAGAGAGTGTAAATTTTATACAACACATAACAAATCATTGATATATGTTTTTTACTTGATTCATTGAGTACATTAGTAATGTAATTAAATATATATTTTAAACAATACGTACATAAATATAGTAATTCTGAACTCTTTCTTAATTCTTTTTTCTTCATATATTTGGTCTTTTTCTGATAATATGTTCTGCATTGGTCTAACATAACTGTAGCTGGAATTTTGTCTTTTGTGTTTTTTATTTTTCTTTTACCTAAAAATTATATTCTATTCGCTTTTCTTGTTTGACGTTGTCATTTTTGGTTACGTATTATGAACTACTTTTTAAAAATCATGTATATTTATTATTATCACATTATAAGATAAAGTCATTTTTCTGGAAAACCTTTAGACAACAAATATTGTGCACTTGGCTCGATTTATTTTAAGTTTCAAACCCACGTCATTTCCAGCTGTATCGCCAATATTGTTACCCTCCGTACAAACAGTCACGAATTTCTTCATGACTGACGCGGTTGATTTGTGTACAGGCATTTTTTACAATATTAATTTCGTAATATTACAAAAGTATGTTTTTCGTGTCTCCGCGTAGGTTTAGGCTGTAGAAAGAAAATTGTAACACAGAAATCAACGAAGTATAGCGTAATAAAGTAGACGAAAGAAAACTAAATTCTTCGCGAAGAGATATTTGAAAGGGTAATCTTTTGAAAGATTTTGAAAATGTTCAGATAATATATGACTCACATAAATTCGGTTCCGTGACAGTGCCACCGAAGAAGCCGGTGATTTACGCGGGCGCCGGTAGAAGTTTGGCTATGATACTGCAGCCCTTCAACGAAGGCAGCGAGTTGTCTTTATTGTGCGAAGTAATCGGAGGTTCTCCGCCGCCGAAGGTCACGTGGCACTTCATGGAGAAAACGCTGGACAATACGTTCACGCTGGAGCACGGGGACATCACGATAAATCAACTGGATATCTCGCATGTCACGAGGGACTTCCTCAAAGCTAGGCTAATTTGTCAGGCAAACAACACGCATCTCGTGCCTCCATTGACTTCGGAGATCATTTTAGATATTAATCGTAAGTAAGAACCTTGGTTGAAATCGTCAACCTCTATGTTAAAATTTGTATCGTGTAGGGCTCTCCAATCAGAGCAACAGAGCTCTCAATTTTTGTCACCTTTGTTTCCTAACTCCAACTCATAGTGGCCTCTAGCTAATGTTCGCTACTTTTTTTCTCAAAAATAGATTCAATCCCAATTCCTAGAGCTTTTTCGATGTGACGATTACTATATCTATAGTTTATAGATACAGGTTTATGATTGTAGGTTATTAGACGATTATTAGATCTATAATTCATAATTAATAGTGACACAATTATGAACGAATCATCGAAAGAACGAAAATAATATTTCTATATTTTCCAATTTATCTGCACTCACTCTTGATGATTAATTTTTGTATTTTCACCATTTTTGAAGTAGACACGTATACACGACAGCATTCAGACAATTTTTAATTATACATTATTGAGAATTTTTCAAAAATACTTCGAGTAAGTCAAAATTAAAATATTTTTAGATTATATTATTTATTTCATCCCTTTTCCAATGGGATTGCTATAATTCACTACTGAAATCATGATTTAGGAATATTAATTTTTATGTTAATCGTGATCGTCCATTATGTTTTGTAACCATAAAATTTTTTAATAATCGTGAAATTAATTCTTTAAGTCCTTTAAATGTGTTTCGTGAAATGTTAAGTTACATTAATTAAATGTAGCCCCTAATACCATTTTTGTTAACATGCACACATATTTTAAATTTTATTATCAACTTCCTGTAAGAGGCTACACGAGGACGTAATGATAAGGGTGCAAGAAATTTTATTGTATTAAGTAATGTTTACCTATATATTTTATTTTATTTGGCTAGTACTGATAACATAAATCATAACCACCATATTTTTACACTCTTGATGATTTATTTCCATATTTTGACTATTTTTTAAGTAACACGTATTCACGACACCATTCGAACAATTTTTAATTATACATAATTGAGAATTTTTCAAAAATAGTTTGAGTAAGTCTAAATTAAAAGTAGTGTATATCATTATTAGTCTACGCTATAACAAATTTTGCACTCTTAAATAAAGTTTGCCTTTTCATCAATTCTTTTTAGCTTTTTAGTTACTAATAGAATTCTTAAGAAGACTTTGTAATTATCAAATTATGTCGGCATGTAAACATCTATTGATTTGAGTTACCATTTTAAATCGTAACTATGAAGTATACATGTACATAATTCGACGATTACTTATCTATAACTCACAATCAATACTGACACAACTAGGAACGAATCATCGAAAGAACGAAAATAAAGTTTTTATACTTTCCAATTTATAATTATGAATTCTGATCGCATTGCTGAGCGTTTTCCAATGGAAATGAATGAAAAGGAATGCAAGTAAATTCTATACTTTTTACGACAATAATATAAGTGAGGTGAAAAATATCAACAAAAGAAAAAAATAGTACTATAATGCAAATATGAAAACATGATGTATAAAAGATACGTAATATCATTTTCGATAATAATAATCTATCAAAACCTTGAAAGAAACTCTTAAGAACAGGAAATATAGGGAATGAAGTGAAAAGATTCTAGAATCACGGAATGTATACCCTCCCTCGATAATGTTCGTGTGGGGGAAACGAGCCAGTGAACGTTAGCAAGGGATTATTGTAGTTTACAATTTGTCCAGTACAGATTCTTTCTCACTGGTTCAGTTATGGATCAACAAGTGGAGAAAATATTGCCCAGATTTCAAATTTATCGATTCCACGACATTCTTAAGAATTAGACATACATAACTCAAACTTCCATGTAGCGAATTCTGCGTAAAAATTTGGGTTTTCATCTTTGCAAGATCCAATTGACTAAAAAATCGAAAATCGTATGATCCAGAGTTGAGCAAATTTAATCTAAATTCGTTCGTAAATTAGTTTTGTTCATCTGGATATCAGTTTAAAAAATTAATTAACAGATTCTACTTCACAAATGAATATATGAACGTAAATAAAGTGCACCTAACTCTGATACGCGTTTGCTGATTACAATAAAAATCTCGGTGTTATTTTTAATATTTATATCGTCCTGTTACTCTAAATTACGAATTTCCTTAAAATTTTAGTGAAACCATTGGTAGTGAATATTACCAATAAGAAAGTACACTTGTCGGCGTTAAGAACGTACGAAATTGAATGCGTCAGTTCGGGCTCCAGGCCGGAGGCTGTGATCACCTGGTGGAAAGGAAACCACCAAGTAAAACACATGGCCAGAAATGTGAGTGAAACACTTTTGAATTCTACAAGCTGTCGCGTTCAGTTTTTTGAAGGCGTGCTGGAAGTACGCGCAAGCTTAGATTTTGAGTTCTTCGTAGTTTGCAGATAATCCGAACATTACGAGAAGCATGCTGAGTTACGTACCGACCATGGAGGACGACGGAAAGAATCTGACTTGTCGCGCCGAGAATATAGTTGTGCCCAATAGCGCGTTGGAAGACAGGTGGCGTCTACAAGTTCATTGTGAGTTCCATCACATTCGTTGTGTATAAATATGTGCCAATTGTATTAGGCTGGTGCGTACAAAATGTTTTTACAAACGAAACTTCAATCGCGCGTATTTTTGAGAAACATAGGTGTTTTTTCTTGGAAAAAATTTTAATACGAGATTCTAGAGGTCAAAATGAGACGAAAATCAAGAATAATTATTTGTTGATTGAGGCCTCGTTAAAAAGTTATTAACGTCTAAAGTTAAGCTTGTAGAACGTACGCGTGATAGTGGTTCTCACGCAGCTGTTCGCAGATTGCCGTTCTACAAGCTTAACTTTAGACGTTAATAACTTTTTAACGAAGCCTCAATCAACAAATTATTATTCTTGATTTTCGACTCATTTTGACCTCTAGAATCTCGTATTAAAATTTTTCCTGAGGTTGGCCGAACACTCTGTATTTAATCGAAATAATTTCCACACGATTGTACGCATTCTTTTTCGACGATTATAATCGTACATAGTACGGATATTTGCTGTAATTAGTGCGTAGTAAAATATAATTTTTGGAATATTCTTTAAACAATCTGAAATTTTCAAAGCTGTCAATCTGTCACGTATAGAATTTTCGTGACAATAATTTTATTCCAGATTAAATAGTTTTTGTGATACTTACATTTAAATATTTTTCCAAGAACCATCTCATAATATATTGCATATATTTATCGCGTTTCTATATTTGTTTATTGCTCTTATTTTCAGACTCGCCCATAGTGACAATCAATATTGGTTCGAGTCTCAGGGAAAAAACCATAAACGAAGGCGACGACGTCTATTTCGAGTGCGAGGTTCAAGCAAACCCAAAAGCGTACAAGCTGGCGTGGTTTAAAGACGGCAAAGAATTGCATCAGAACGCAGCAGCCAGAATCTTTCTTCACAGCGGACAATCTCTGGTTTTGCAACGAGTGACTAGACATTCCGCCGGTGAATATGCCTGTATGGCAGTCAATATCGAAGGAAAGTCCATCAGCAGACCAATGACTCTCGAGATAATGTGTGAGTGCTCAATACTTAAGTATTTAACAATTTACATATGTACTGGTTATTATGAAAGTGGCTTGAGTCATATATTTCCCGTTTCGAGGTATTTAAACGTTTGCATTTGATCATATTAAAAAATATTTTTCCATTGTAATTTAACGTATCAAAAATTAAATGTTTCTAGTAATTTTTCCCATAACACAAGAAAAAAATTCAAATATTATCCACATATAACTCCTGAAAATTTCAATAAAATATATTAATTACAAAAATACTTAAAAATGTCACATTTTTATGTGATAAGTATTTTTGTAATTAATATATTTTATTGAAATTTTCAGAAGTTATACGCGGATAATATTAGAATTTTAATAACTAAATAAAACTAATAATTAAGTAGGTCGAGAATTATCGTTTCCCGTCGGTAACGTGTCAATTCTCATGACTTCGAATAAAGTCTAGAGCAAAAACTCTCGTCTTATTTAATATCGTGAAACGGAAGTAATCGCGATGAAATTGATTCGAAAGTAAAGGACGCGTTCGATTGACAATTCGAGCCGTTGCTTGTTGTATTTGTAGACGCACCGATCTGCAAGGATGGCTCCTCCACTCAAGTGGTCGGTGCCCTAAAGCACGAGACGATCTCGCTAGTTTGCGGGGTACAATCGAAACCGCCGCCCACTACTTTCCATTGGACCTTCAACAATTCTGGCGAGCTGATGAACGTGCCAGCCAATAGATTCACGCAGGTCAAGCCCCTGAGTCTGATCACGAGCCATTGGCACGGGTCCAGGCTGAATTACACACCAGAAAACGACATGGACTACGGCACGATCGCATGCTGGGCCAAAAACCAGATAGGGGTGCAAAAGACGCCCTGTCTTTTTCAGATCATCGTGGCCGGGAAACCCTATCCCCTGCAGAATTGTACGGCTCTCCAGTCGACCGGACCCTACGCGTATCGAATGGGTAAGTGACACTCGGCCCACACACCCGGGGAAGTCCTCCTTCTGACCTAAATAACGCTAACTATACCATTACGTTCGCCCATCATCGAGGATGACGGCTTACGGTCGATAGCCTTGTTGTGTTCAACAGCTTGTTTCCTGCTGTAACACACGAAAAGAGAAGGTGGTCAGCCGTGCGTGAAATTAGGCGCGTTTTCAGGATCGATTGCAGAACAGTTTAACGGGTCGAAGATCTTTCGTTACGGGAAAGTGACACCGGAGATGGGAATACCTATATCCGAGGTGGCTGGCATTATTTCAGATTCGTTATCTAAAGTGATGTTTAAAATATTTTTAGATTATGTTCGTTTACTTCATCCCTCAGGAAATGGAATTGTTATAGTTTACTACTGAAATCATGATTTAAGAATTTTTAACAATTTTTATTAATGAATATATCTATATCTAAAAAGGATGACATTATTTGAGGTTAAAAATAATTTTTTAATCATATTCGTTTACTTTACCCTTCAGGCAATGGAATTGCTATAATTTACTACTGAAATCCTGATTTAGGACTATTAACTTTTATTAATGAGGATACTTGTATCCTAGGTGAATGGCATTATTCGAAATCGGTTATCTAAAGTGGTGTTTAAAATATTTTTAGATTATATTATTTATTTCATCCCTCTCCCATTGGAATTGCTATAGTTCACAACTAAAATCCTGATTTAATTAATAATAATTACATTCGGCGTACAACATCTTATAATCATTACACTTGTATTAAAAATTTCAATTTATACAATACTCTTTACATACACATTTTGTTGTATCATTGAAATTGATAAAATCTTGTAATGGAATGCACCATTTGTTTTTGCTTGACGTTCGAAATAATATTTTTCAATGCTAAATATTCGTCTTTAACTATGACTTGGAAAATCTGCATTTGTTTTTTCGAATGTTTTACTTAGAGACCGAAATTTCTTTGATCTTCGACCAATTCAATGGGTTAGATAGGCAAGTACTCTAAACAGTTAATTTTAGCTTTTTATATGTATTTTCCAATTTACATACTGGATTTTTTACAAATTCTTACTCTCACTGTAACATAATTATTCTTATTTGAATATGAAACACCAAAAACATACCATTATTGTTAACTCTGCTATCCTAAATAAATATATAGAAACCACCCCACTGATTTCGACCTTGAAATATGTTGTTGAAGTATCTGGGCTTCAATTTTCAAGTTAGAAAAGTGTCTTGACCATTAAAAAGTTATTAACACTAAAACTACCAAAGCAGTCAAAATGATCTATTCATAATTTCTAATAACACTTGTTAAAAATTTATTCGATTGAAGTTTTGAAAATTTATCGTAATTTTCTATAAGAGAATGAATAATCACTTCCTTCTGTTGCATTATACATTTCTTCACGTATCTATCGTTTTAATTTCTTTGGTGCAAATAAACACACTATAACTGTCGGTAGTTCCAGTATTAAAAATGTCGATTTTTACGCCATGTTTAAAAATCATCGATATCGATAAGGACATACGTACCTTTTCGACAAGTTCGCTTCCATTCGTAATACTCTTTACAGAACCAGTTAATGAGATCCAACTGTCAATTTTGTTCGTTTCTTTGTGTGGCACAGGTCACGAGGATTTTAAAGCCACGGATTCGAGGGATGTGGACTGGTTGATCGTCAAATGCTCAGAGGGATTTGACGGCGGTTTGCCCTTGACTAATTACGAAATCGAGGTCTACAGTGAGGAGAACGTTTATCACGTTAATACCATCTACCTGAACCACACAGAGAGATCCAGTTCGTCAGGTCCGATTTTCGAGGTCCCTGGTCTGGAGCCTGGCCGTAACTATCGACTACATCTCTACGCTGTCAATGCCAAGGGACGAAGCGATCCCGTAGTCCTTGAACCGGTCACTCTCAAAGGAGTCGCCATGTACACCACCGGTGAGTTCTTCAAATTCTCTTTCTTCGGAATTAAATGCACCTACGAACACGAGAAATCATTTCACACGACAAATTTTCCACGCTACGCGTCTACACTAAAATTTGTACGGTCAGTTGCCCTACATTTTTTTTTTTATACATATGTTTCATTTGCTTATAGAATTTGGTATAAAAACTTAAATATTACGAATTTATAGGAAATTTTATGCTCCTTTGATTGGTAATAGTCAAATTTAAATTATAATAACGGTTTAGGAAATGTTTACTTTTTTTAGTGAGGTACTCATTTTCCATATTAGGCTCATAGTGCTCGTAATATGAAATATTATACACAGGATGTTCGGCTACCCCTGGGAAAAATTTTAATGGGGTATTCTAGAGATCAAAATAAGGACAAAATCAAGAATACCAATTTGTTGATGGAGGCTTTGTTAAAAAGTTATTAACGTTTAAAGTTCCGCCCGTACTGAATTTTTTTTCTCGAAAATGCGTAGGATTTCGGTGGTATGTCTATTCACCAAAAATGATTGTAATTAACCCCCGCAACCGAAAATAATTTTTCCAGAACGATTTGAAATTTTTTTTCACAGTCGAAAAGTTTCACACCTTCTCAAATTTTTTTCTCGAAAATGCGCAGGATTTCGAGGCTATATCTATTCACCAAAAATGATTGTAATTGACCCCCGCAACCGAAAATAATTTTTCCAGCACGATTTGAAATTTTTTTTTCCCGTCGAAAAGTTTCACACCTCCTCAAATTTTTTTCTAGAAAGTGGGTAGGATTTTGGGGGTATGTCTATTCACAAAAAATGATTGGAATTGACCCCCGCAACTGAAAATAATTTTTCCAGAACGATTTTAAATTTTTTCTTTTTTGTTGAAAAAAATACCTAATTATATTTTCGGTAAGGAATTTTTTTCTCGAAAGTGCGTAGGATTTCAGGGGTATGTCTATTCACCAAAAATGATTGTAATTAACCCCCGCAACCGAAAATAATTTTTCCAGAACGATTTGAAATTATTTTTCCCCGTCGAAAAGTTTCACACATTCTCAAATTTTTTTTCTCGAAAATGCGCAGGATTTCGAGGCTATGTCTATTCACCAAAAATGATTGTAATTGACCCCCGCAACGAAAATAATTTTTCCAGAACGATTTTAAATTTTTTCTTTTTTGTTGAAAAAAGTACCTAATTAGATTTTCAGTAAGGAATTTTTTTCTCGAAAGTTCGTAGGATTTCAGGGGTATATCTATTCACCAAAAATGATTGTAATTGACTCTCGCAACCGAAAACAATTTTTCCAGAACGATTTGAAATTTTTGAATTTTTTTTTGTTAATAACTTTTTAACGAAGCCTCCATCAACAAATTGGTATTCTTGATTTGTGTCTTATTTTGGCCTCCAGAATCTCCCATTAAAATATTTCCCAGGGATGGCTGAACACCCTGTATAAGACTCGATGATGAGTGAGTAGCCTCATGATTGCGTGGTATCAAGAACTTCTAAGAATCAAACTTGGCATTATACGACAGAGGGTTAAATATATCACTATCACCACTTTCGATTATAATCATTTTTTTGATCATCTTTTTACTACTTTATAGTTTATAATTTTGAATTCGTCGCTGTATACTAACCTGTCTGTTAATCGAATTGAAACATCTTAACTGTATGTAGTTAAAGTGTGAAAATATTAAATCGATTGAAAATGGACGCAAATCGTGACTGATATAGCCCTCAATTACCGTATTGGCAAATCAGCAGTTTATGACGTAAAAAGAGGGAAATGTGAAATTATCAACGACATTACGCGAAATGTATAAAACCTGCTAACAATACAATTTTCGACGTGGCTGGGTACAAATGGTTCTATTAAAATGGGGATGCAGAAGAATCTATATCTGAACATATGACACGTCAAATGAACAATTCACATTCTTTCTTTGACATTATTCTTTATCTGCGTTGATAACGGTGTTATTACCTGATATAGTTTCGCGAATTCTGTATTCTAAATCTAAGTTTGGGCCAAAGTAGAATTCAGAGTAGGGGATAGTTACGAAACTTTTTCGATAGGTCTCGTTGAAACGGAACTTTTATAATAAAAGTTATCACATTATAAGTTCCGATGAGACAAGGTAAATAAAAATGTTTGCGAATAAACGTTCTGATTTGGATAGTATTTGTAAGAAATAAGAAGAATCACTCTTACATTCATATACAGGGCGGTCCATTCAGCTGTTTTAAGTCGTAACTCCGTTATTAATGTATCTACCAAAAAATCAATAAAAATATTTCTTGAAAATATCTCGAGAACTAATAATATTTTTGCCATGATAATAATTTTTCACGTAGAATGGACAGGGGAATGGATCTGTGCAATCAAAAATATGCATTTTCATTTAAAGAAAGGATGCAATTCTTAATTACACATGCACTGTTGAATTTGTAAAAAATCTAAAGTCCTACAGATATAGTGCTCTTCGAGCCATTCACCTTTCTCCTTTGGCATTTTTTCGTGAATGCATTAATAACGGAGTTGTGACGTGAGACAGTTGCATGGATCACCCTGTATATTGAAAGTCTTAAATTTCTCATTGGAATTATTATTTGTAATACATTATAAACGTGGAGCTTTATTTATTTTATGAAACTGTTTTAACAAAAACAGTTTTCAAAAATTCATCAAAATTGAGAGTCTCTGGGTTATAAAATGGGGTGCCTCGCAATTCCTACCACTTCCTCTATTTACAAATTTCTAAGGATATCATTTTTGCATATTATTATTCTTTCATTCACGACATCGACATTTAATCTGAAATATGTAACGATTCGCGTTACCAGAGAGACTGTTCTAGTATTAAAAACTACCTTCGTACGAGTTGTCATGTCTCCTTAGAAGCTCGTGCGATGAAAGCTCTATTATATTACGGGCAGCTGCACACACGAATGACAGCAAGAGCATCCAAGACAAGCAAATGACAAACGCTAATGAGTTAGTTCGATCAGAAATACGTTTTTGAGACATCTGTTACGTGTCTTAATTAAACCTCATTGTGTCACGGGTTCAACGACTCCGCGGTATCACGTCGCAATCATCCTTCTTCCGCGTTCTGCGGGGCAATTATACGCATATCCATGCAAACTTCAGGACCTCCTTCACCCAGCCAGCCTCGTTTCATACGATACGTTTCTTCGCATCCTCCTTTCCGCGGACCCTGAATTAAAATCCCATAAAGACCGAGTCCCTTTTCTAGCTGCTGTCTCATTCGAGGCGCATTTATCGCCTTTAATTTCCATCCTCATGGTTTATTCATGCCGGCCTGTGGACGATTCCACTGTGTGTGGAAACGTTTGCTCGCGAGCGTTTCGGTGGTTCCGTGTACGTGTCCGAGCACGTTCGCGACACGAGCTCATCCCGAGCCTTGGCTGTGCGCGTTTCACCATCACCGACGTCACTCCTGGACTATCTACAACCCTCTCCTAACCTTTACAGATCCTTTCAAACCCGTTCCAAACGGCTTTAGTTCATCCGTGTCATTTTCCGCCGTATGAAATCGATTCTACAGCACCGGGCGAATTAATGCGATCGTTGACGATTGTATCGACGGAATTCTTTATTTCTCTTTAACGCATCGACTGCCAGGCCAAACATCTCGAATTGTCCACGAAATCGAGACTTTATTTTTAGACAATTGGAAACTAACCTACAATTTGTCGTGGAACTTATTTTTACAGCCTTATTAAAATTCAAGTGTTCCATTTAGATTTATTTTCTTTAATGTACATATTCAACATAATTTCTTTATTCGATTATGCAGTATTGATTCCCGAGAAAATGAAATTAACACTTTGACGGCCGCTGTCACGTATACGTGACTTTGCGAGCTACCAGACGTTGGCCACTGTCACGTGTGCGTGATCTACTGTATCAGTCACCATTTCATTGTACATTCAACTTATTACGTTTGTTGAGGTTACATTTACAATTTCTTATAATAATATTCCTAGCAGCTTCATGTGTATTTCAAAATATAGCTATAGTCAATTTATAATATCCACTTAAAAATTGAATTTGCTCTATTATTAAATAGGATTTTTGAATCCTGTAAAATAATTTCATAAGAATTTTATTTCTCACTTTGGTCTAAAATATCAGTGGTGACGGACAACGGTCTTCGCGTGATACGTGCGGCCATTAACACTTTGACTGCCACGTCACCCATATATATGTGACAGAACTTTTAACAGTGGAACTAAAACAATTAATTTTCAAGTTGAAATGTTAAAGAAAATAAATTTTAATAGGCTTCATAAATTTTAATGAGGTTACGAAAGTAACTACTAGGACAAATTTTAAGTTGTGTAGTTTACAATTGACTAAAATCAAAGTTTTGGTCTTGTAAACAATTTTAGGATTTTAGACTGGCAGTCAACGTGTTAAAGTGTTAAATTGAAAATTCTATGTTTCATCCCATATCATGACAGTTAGTTGTTAATTTAAAGTTAGGGCAATCGGTCTTTATGTAAACAAGAAGATGCTCTATAATTAATTATTGTGATTCCACATGTGAAATTATTAGTTTTTGAATATTAAAATGAAGCAAATATGACCACGGTGGTGTGGAGGAAGTGTAAAAGCTAAAAGTTTTATAATCTTGAGAATTAATTTGTGTAGCTCCTTAAAAATCATGTCACCCATATGTGGATGACCTGGCAGTTCATGTGACAAACTAGCTTCAAACTAGTTTAAGGGGGGAAACCACTATGACGAATTAAAATATTTTTGTCTCTCTTTTCAATGTTTGGGGTTTTAAGAATTACTTCCTAAAATATTAAAGTAAAATTCGCAAAAATGACAAAGTTGGAGAAGTTTTAGTAGATGTAAACAATGTAATATGCTTGAAACTAACTTTACTTCGGGACATTTATTTGAAACTCCTTTGTTATTTCTGTTGTGGTCAAATTTTCATATGAATGGGAAGTATTTGGATCGAGAT